AAATTACCAGTGGAAGCACCACTAGGCACAGCAGCCCTTGCTACGGTCCCATTACAGAGAATAACATCAACCTGTTAATTTTTCATTCAACCCAGATTCATCACTCAACTCAAAAGGAAGTTACATTTAGGGCTTCTCCTCAACCAAACAGAGCCAAAGAAAACGATGACTAAAGGGAAAAACAAAAGCCAAAAGGAAATGTGTATGCCATTTATAGTATTATAAATCGGACGCCAAAAATGAAATCAACAACTTACTTCAACGGTGGGGTTTCCACGACTGTCGAAGATCTGACGGGCTTTGACACACTTGATGGTCGCCATTGCTTGGTTTTTTTTCGATATAAACGAGGTTCGTCTTTAGTATTACACTACCGCTTCAGTTTTTCTTGTTCTTTCCTTGCCCTGAGAAGAAAGCAGGTTCCAGGGGGAAATATAATGAGGTTAGAGAATCCAATCCAGACCGTTCATCGTGGGAAGTTTGGTGATAAGTGGACGGTAGAGATTGTTTTATTGACCGTGAGGGCCACGAGATTTTGGTGCGGCTACAAAAGCAGCATTGGAATTTGAAAAGTGAGGGTAAAAGTGGAATTTGAAGTGGCGTGGCCATGAAAAGATGTGATTGGGGGGCGCCCGTGGTTCGGCTAAACCGGGGCAACTCAAATGGTTTAGACTTTGAGCGTTAGAAGTAATTGTTTTTCCTAGAAAATGACGTATTGTATTGTACTCTGACAAAACTAAACAAGTGACTAGCGAGAAGTTTCTCGTCAGGTACAATTCCGGGAAGCGTAAATTTTACAGAAAAAATAAAATCTGTTATTTAGTATTTATTGTTATATTATATCTGTATTTAAATAACAGTATATATTGATATTAAATATATATAGTTGTATATTATAAATATTTAAAATTAATAATATATATCTCTACCACATCATATTAAAAGAATTTAAAAAATATTCAAATATTGACAGCTATCCATGTCTACTATTGACTGAATATTTACTCTTAATTTTTGACATTTGTATTTGGATTTTATTTACATGAAAAATCGTAATGTGATCCATTAGGATTCAATTTATCATTTTTCATGAAAAATGTTTTTTTGTCTAATTTTGTTGGTGTGGATAAAAATTTTTCAATAGAAATAAAGAATTTACTCACTATATTTTATGGTTGAGATCTTCCAGAAAGCTTTATTTCATTTATCTTATATAAATATATAAAATCCAAACCCTTTGATAATAAAGAAAGCAGTTCAATGTGAATAGTTCATATTTTTTAATGTAGATGAATTTAAACATGTGTTCTATAATAAATGTATTTTATTTATTTAAAATATTTTTATTATTTTTATAATAATATTTTTATTACTTAAAAAATAATTAGTTATACTAAATTAATTATATTTATTACATTTTAATTATCTAATATTTTACTTTATACGAATAAGTTACAATTAATTTAGTTAATAATATAGATTAAAAAATTAAATTAATAGCTAATTACTCATTAATATATTTTCATATCTCCTTGTTACTTATGAAAAATTAAATGAAATTTAATGTAATAAATAAGAAAAGAAAAATGAGTCATTTAACAAGTTAACAATAATAATATCATTAAATTAGAGAAGATTTTATTTTATTTTTAAAAAAAATAGAATAAATAAATTTGTAATTTAAAGAAAAAACTACATTAATTTTACATCTTTAAATACTTATTACATTAGACGGTTAATAATGTAACCTTTTAATACATTTACGATAATATTTCTTGATAATAATATAAAATATAAATATTATTCTAAAAGGAATATTAAGTAAACTAAATTTAACTATTCTTCAACTTTGTTTTGCTGCAATTTTATCTCTATCATCTTATAAAAAATTTATTTTTTAATCCTGTTTACTACTCTTTTGTAAGTTTATTGAGTTTTTACTTCTTTTTTTTTTTTTTTGGTTTGTGCAAATGTTAGGTTTTGTTTTTAGAATAGTAATTTTATTAATTATGTATTTTAGTATACTTTATTTTTTTCTAATTTATAATTTAAAGGTGAATCTATGATATTATATATATATATATATATGTTGAATATGATATTTTTAAAAAGTTATTTTCTTTTGTGAGGTAATAATTAGCATAGACTTAATGATTTTGGTTTATTTTAGGAGGTTACTCTATAAGATTATGTTTATTTGTAAGGTTTTACAATCAGCTGCTAAGAACGATTGATTAATTTAGATGCTATCATATTGGGCGTTATGTATTAATTGTAAACTAAGTCATAAAGATTCACAAATATTGTATTATAAGCAAAATCAACCTAAAATAATATAGTTGATTATGGCTTGACTAAACATGTTTTGTTTCAATTAAAAATGAAAATTTTATTTTTTAAATTCGTAACGAATGAAGTTTTAGATGATATAAGTGGTACTAGTTTTATAATTTTTAAAAATCTTATAAAAAAATGAAACAAATTCTTCAATTTTGTGAAATTTACCACTTATTTCATTTAATAAGTCCTACAATTTTAGAAATACTAAAACTATAATTAAAACTTTTATACCCAATTTCCTATATTCTTCTACATTTATTTTTTAGATAAACACTTTTTATTCAATTTTTTTTTAGATAAATAGATATTTTCAAGATTCCATATTGATATGTTGATATGTCACAAATTCATAACAAAAACACATACAATATTGAAAGAAAAAATGCTAACAATTTAATTTTAATATAAGTTCAACTCTTTCATAATATAAGATATATGTGTGTGTATATATATATATATATATATATATTATTACAACTCATTCATCCTTACGAAGAAAACATACATATAATAAAGTCCTAAATTTAATATATTAATATTATAAAAAATTCTTACAATTAATATCAAAATTTATTTTTGCATTGATTTTCTTAACATATAATTTTATCTAATTAATTATTTCTATATCCCCTTAAAATTAGGTGAATCTATGGTATTAAATTTAAAGTAACAATTATATTCTAGATATTCAACATAGATTCACAAGATTAGAATAAGCATAAAGTTTTTAATTGTTACAAGCAAAATTAGAATTGTTAATTTTGCCTATACCTTTAGGGAAGCAAAGTAACAAACTATATTACTGATTATTTAACAAAGACGACAGTGCAAAAAACAAAATTATTTTATGCCTGTTGATAGTAGACTCCAAAAAGGTTGGTTGTGTGTATTTTTTTTTTTTTTTTGATAAATTAGATTGTGTGTATTATTAGGAGTTGTTACAAATATTTTTTTATTTATGCATTAGAATCTTTTTAGTGAGATTCTTAAGTTTTGTAATTCTTTAATTTTATGAATAAATTTATCTTTTTAAATGAGAAAAAGAATCTATATCACACTTTTTACTGTTTTAACTCTTATAGTTTTATTTTTACTAATCAAATCAAAGTTATTTATTAAATTGTAAATAAAAATGATGATAAAAATTTATTTATGATGATTTAAGTTTTTTTTATCAACCATTATCCATATATTTTGTAATCATGAAAATAAAATTTAAATTGCTATAAAAAATTATAATTATATTAAATTACAAAATTATTATAGATACAGTTGCTTCGTGTGCACAGAAATATAAAACTTTAAATGTTGAAATAAATAGTATTTGACAATTAATTTTTTAAATTGAAAAAAATAGCAATTTTTTTTTATCTTAAAATTTTGAAATTACATAATATTCTTAAATATTTGATAGAAATCAAAACTTGACTTTTCAATATTGTATAAAAAAAAAAAGTGGATGTATTAAATATAGCCATGTATTTATTATAACAATATAGATATTCTAATATTTTACTCATATAATTATTTAAAAACTAATAATGTTATGTATAACAAAAATTATAGTGGTTTTATTTATTTGTGCACAGCACGGGCTTAAAACTAATCTAAATGAATATATGCTAACTTTATTAAAAATAGTTCAACTTTACGTAGAAAACAAAGTAAAATTTTAAAATAAAATTTTAAAGTGATGAGAATTTTATAAAATTTATCAAAGTATTAATGAAGTCTTTGGAATTTTTAAAATTAGAATTAAATAAATTCAGATAAAATTTTAAGGTTAATAGATTTTTATTAACTCTATAAAAATATTAAAAAATTTTAAAAATTAATTAAATTAATAAACAATAAATAAAATTAAAGTCACAAAATTCATAAAAATGAAATATGATAAATAATTAATAATGGATGAAAATATGTAAATTATTTGAAATAAATTTATTTTTTGATAATTTATTTATAATAATTTTTAAATTTTTATAATTTTTAATTAAAATTAATTTAAAAAATACTGCTACAAAGTGCGAGATCTATTCTAGTTAACATATAATATTTGTTCCGTTTATAAAATACACAAGAATGACAATAGGTTTATTACTTTTATCCTTAATGTAAACTTAAATCTTTAAAAAATTTAAATAATAATTATATATTAAATATATAATTATATAAAAACAATTCAAATTAATAAAGTGAATATTAACATGTAAAATTTGTTTCATGTACATTTATATATTATATGTTAATTAATATAAATTTTTATTTTTAACATTAATATAAATTTAAAACTGAAAAGTACAATGTAATGTTTAACTCATTTGCATTTATCAAATAAATTTATTTAATAAAAATCTTTCAAAAAAACAAACTTCTTATTTATAAATTAAATCAATCTTACTATTATAAAAAATTAAAATCACAATTCAAAAATATAATAAATATATTTATCTTTTTATTTCACATCTATAGTTCATTACTTATTTTTCATATTAACATAATTAAAATTTTTGAATGATCAATTCCAGTAATAGTAAAAATTTTAAATTTAAATCTAATCGATAATCACTTATTAAAATCATTTTACAATATGAGACATATTTTACTCTAACATGAGAATCCTGAATTTTTGTTAAAAAATAAACCTAAAATTCTCGTTTATGTTTGGAATCTTTGCCTCTTTGTACTTTGCATAATTAATTTTTCCGGAAAAATGACGATTTTTTTTTTTAACTAAAAACTTCATACAGCATTACCCTCAGTACGTAAAACACGAATACGTCCTTTTCATGGTTGATTTGGCAATGGAAGTTCAACTTCCCACACAAAATTACCTATTTTCATTTCATTCAGCAGAAACAGATGACGCTTTCAGCAAAAACTCGTCATCACGGCTTCCCTCATACTCATACAAACTCAAAATTCAGACAGACTATCGGATGAACTTGTAAATTTGCAAGATAATTAAGATTGATTATCATTGTTTCTTTTCAGGTTCATGATCACTCAAGCAGTGAAAAACTTTTTCATAGCTTGAGAGGTAAGAAAAATAACAGGCATTAGCGGACTCCAACCAACTCCACATCAAACTCAAGCCATGAATTTGGAGGTATCCTGCCGCCAGCACCCTTAGAACCATAACTGAGAAAAAAATTGCATTTAAACATGATCAAAATTGCCGGTCACAAGAAAGGTACACAACATTATACCACTAATCTACAAAAGCTGAATGTGATTACTTAAGAAGTATTGCGTACCCCATTGATGGTGGAATTATGAGTTTTCTTTTATCTCCAATGCGCATGCCTAAGAGCCATATATGTTCCAGAAATATATAAATGCTTCAAAAATGAATTAAAGGAACAAGAATAACCAGAATTAAACAAATTGGTAACAATTCAAATTAAATTACCTTCAACCCCAACATCCCATCCTTTAATGACTTCTCCTACACCTATAAAACCAAAACAAAATAATTAAACATGATTAACTAATCAAAAGTTTCACTCCAAAAAAAAAAAAAAGTTTTGGTATTTCACAAGTCTTAATGTCACAATACCTAGGCGAAACTTAAAGGGGGCCCTTCCCACATTGGAATCAAATATTTTGCCATTCTGCTTGAGCTTCCCAATATAGTGGACACTAACCTGAACCAAGTGAACAGACTTGGGTAAGAATCTCCGACTAAATCCTAGTGACATGGGCAGTGCACATAATAATACACATGATCTTCGCATCAAATATAATTCAGAATCACATCACATGAATAATTGAAATCTATCAGAGTTATACAGGCTCCATTCTCTTTTCAGGCAATCTGCTATCCATTCCCTTCAGAAAATATCCAAAATATGATTAAAGCATTCATGATTGCAGAAAAATAGAGCAAAGCACTAATGTTATTTTTCTTCAGATGAGAAAATTGACCAATAGAAAACTAATGGAGAAAGAATAACCTGCTTCCCACGAGATGCTCTTTTACCATCTGGTTTGCCCATTGCTAACTCCTGGACGACCAATCCATTAGGAAAGGTTCTCACTTGAGAAGATTTGGCAGCAGTTTGCTTCTCTTCAGACTTCAAAGTGGAAGTATCCTTGTCTCCACTTTGTGAAACTGATGCATTTGCACCCTCTTGATTCTCCTGCGAAGTCTTACTCTTTTTTTTCTTTTTCTTCTTCTTCTCAGAGAGCTTCCCGCCAGGTATATTGTCTGCTTCTGAACCAAGGACCCTGCCAGGTATGTAGTAACATTTTTGGGTAACTAACATATAAATTTAGCTAAGGGCAACATATAGCATCATCCTACCATGCAAATCACATTCTGTACATTTCTGAGAGAGAAAAAGTGGGAGAAAAGAAAATCCTAACATCCTAAGTCACTTCCAAGTTTCCACCACTTCAAGACTTCGGATATGTCTATCAAAAAGTACCATTGAACATTAAGCCAGCTCTTCTTGCTTATGTAAAGCAAGGTCAACAGATTAAGGAGAGGAAAGTCTATTCTCCCTACAATATTTTACCTGAAAGGTTTTAACTTAAGACCCTACCTAATCAGTATACTTGTTTATCATGCAAATCAATTTATGATCCTTTTCTTATTGGAGAGGGTTTAAAAAGAAAATATAATTGAGTAAATGTACATGCATGTGCATATCCACAGATAGGCACTGTCTATCTACAGTCATATCTCTCTATGAATACAAAAATGTGGAAAGGAGTACTCACCTATCACTGGATGGCTGATCATGTTTCTTTCCAACAGGCAAAACCTGCTCTGGATCCAGGCTCTCTTCCTTCACAGGCTGAACTTCATCATACAGGAAACCATTGATGTTATCTGTACCCTTTTCTTTTTGCTTCTTCTTCTTCTTCTTCTTTTTCCTAACAAAGTTTTTGTAACCATCTCAAAGATCAATGGATTGAACATATCATTAGCAAGTTAGGCGGCCAGCAAAATATAAATAATAGAACCAACTATGATATCAAGTTCAGGAAAAACTGTTAAGTTGAAGGCCAACTCACCTTTCTTGTTGACCATCTTCATCAGTGCTTTTGATTTTTCTTTTCTTTTCTCTACCATCTTTTGTTGTCTTCTTGCCTTCTTCAGTAGTTAATTCTTCTCTCTGTTTCTCAGCTTCTGGCTGAGGCTGTTGAATAGCATCTTCGGTTTTACATGAAGCAGAAACCGGAAAGCCATCTTCATCTTCACTTTCCAAAACCGTCACACCAGCACCTCTCTTGACAACAAGTTGACGCTGGGAGTCATTTTTGTCCTCAGAGCCAGTTAATTGATTCTTTTTCTTGAATCGTTTAGATTCCACATTTCCATTTGTAGGTTTCTCATCATCCACTATCTCCTCAATTACAACTATAGTTAATTCAAAAAAGAATAGTAAGCAAAAAGCATGTCAAGTACCAGTACAAATGCAACAGAAACCTGTAAGAATGAACATCTAGAAAAATTGAGGCACAATTTTCAGAAAATGGGCAATGGATCAACAAAGTGAAATAATAGATTAATCTATTGGTAATGCTTTGGTAATGTGTTTAAAACATTAAAATTTCACCAAAATTTTACCTGTCAACCACAGAAATAATCTTCTTTTTTTTTTTCTTTTTGTATAAAGAAAAGCAGCTATATTTACTAAATTCTCATCGTATCTATCAAATGGTTCTTAAATCTTCCTTTGTGTCACATTGATTTTGGCTGATACTTTTCATTCTAACAATTTTTTCATTTTTATCCCTGGGCCATGTTCTAGACACTTTGATAGACAGGTTTTCAACAAAAGAAAGCTTCTCTATCATCCAAACTTCTGCAGTGACGTCAATTTTAACTGAAGCTTCAATTTGTTGAAAACAAACCCAAATTCCTGAACCAATAGGTCAAAATTTTGGGAACAAGCTATTAGAAAATTATTAAGAAATCAAAATAAAATTGGTTTGGAAGGCTACAGATTGAATCACATGACATGATGGAAAAAGGAACATGTATGATCTAATTTCTAGTTAATGAATTCCCGTAAAGCTATCCAAAATGCCACATACCTCCGCTATTTGGGACAGGTGAAGGTGGGAAGAACTCAAGATCATCATCATCTATGAAGTCATCTTCATACTCATCTTCAGAATCATAATCAGAGGACTCATCTTCTGACTCAGTCTCAGCAATATCCTCCCCATAAGAATCACTTCATAATGTAGTAAAGGAATGAATAAATCGCGATATATACCATATTCTAAGTTCTTTCATGAAACTTAAAAAAAAAAAAAAATGGAATGCACAAATTCTTGTTAGTCAAATTGGAGAAATTAAACAAAAGGATACGATTCATATTCATCTCGTAGGTGATCACCATCTTCAGCAACAAAGTAACCAGAGAGGTGGATGCTTCGAGGGCCAATTACTGAGAAAGCAATTAAATTATCATCTTCATCAAATTTAAGATCTAAGGAGCAAGTCTCATTCTGATTTGGTAACAAGGAACACAAGATAATCGGACTCTTGTGTCTGACAGAACACTGAAGTACAGCCCTCTCTGTGGACGATCCAAGGCCTAAAGTTGCCTGAATTATCACATAACATAGATTAACAATGGAACATACACAGCATCAAGAAAAACAAAACCAAAAACCAGAACTAGAAATCCAAAAATGCTTTGGAGAAGCAATTCAGAGAACTAAGTCTAAATTCTAACTAAAATTAACCAAAATTGCATTGTAAATGTTTCGACTTCATTCCACTCCAAATAAGCAAAGCACTCCAGTAATGAAGTGTAAGAACCTCAAAATAACTCATAAAAGCATGTAAACTACTAAAACTACAATACCTTACCGCTACATTAATTATTAATTACTAATTAGATAAAAACGAAAACTCCAACATGAACCACAATTCAGAAAATGAAATGATCTAGTTTTTTCATTTAACTTTCAATTAATGAACCAGAAGAATGTACCTGTGTAATGTGAAGCTTTCCCCGCACATTGTCCGAATGATAAGGGTGCGGTTTTCCAGGTTTGATTTCAATTCCTGATACCAAAAAAATTAAAAAAAAAAAAAGAAAAAAGAAAAGGGCTATGAGAACAGATAGAGAATTTCATGAATAACAAATACAACTATTAATGAGCCGTTTGGTTACTCGCAAATGGCAGGATGATGATAATGAAACTTGGGGTTTTCATTTCATAAGCATACATGTCGATCCAAACCCGTTATCATAATTAAATTTGCAATTTCTATATGCTTAATCTTTTCTCTGCAGTTTGCCAGTAACCAAAGATATCGAAAAATGAAATCTGAAAATGGAAATAGTAAGAATTTAAAGCGAGAAAAAATGGCCTTGCTCAAGATATAGAAGAACTGACCCCAGAACCCCATTTCTTCCTGATGGAGAAAATATTGGTTACAAAAAGCAGCTCCTTCTAAAACCCTAGGGTTTTCGCTGAGCCAGTTTATTACATACTTCGCCGTTTTCAGGTTAGATATGGTACATGCAGTATTATCGAAAAGGTATACAACCTTTATGAAGAGATGACACGTGGTCATTAGATGATTAAATCCACAAAATAACACGTGTCTCTTCAATAGGATATGGCACGAATGAAAAAATCTATGCTATATATCGAATAGAATCCCTAAAGAATTGTTTATTTGATATAGCAATTGATTGCTTGTCTTTGATAATTATTGTAGACATTGATTTTGTTTGAATTTATTGTCTTTTTTGAAATAATTATAATAATAATAATAATATATTTTAAAAAATATAATAATAAAAAAAGAAGACAAAAATCATAGGGTTGGTACGGTATCATTGCCACCCCTGTCCAGCCTCCGACCAATCTCTTTCCAACCTTTGATCAACCCCCTTTCCAGCCATCAGACCAGACAGTCACCCTACCATGCCTATGATCACTATCTATCCCCTTATTTGAAACTTTTTAAAACCCCCAATTTCTTCCTTTTTGAAAGGGGTTGAAACACCAAAAAAAAAAAAATCCCAGCTCATATTGCTCCAAAAAAAAACCCCCCAAACAGAAGCCAAAAACACAGACAGACCCATGCCCACCAGAAAACAAAAAAAATCAACACGAAAAAAAAAAACGCAAAAATAGAAACCATAGTCCCACCGAATCGACTATGAACCCAGGGCCAAAGAGATACCTGCAACAAAAAAAAAATCATTAGTTTCAGCCTTTAAAAAAAAAGGTTAGAAACTTTAAAACTCGATTTACGTCAATTGGGATCGTTTTTCATAAAAAAGGTGACGGATCTAAGCTAAGGAGGTTGAACGGAACCTGTTGGTCAAAAATTTTTTTTTCGATCACTGGCGATCACAGCCGATGGTGACCTAGGTGACGGCCAGCACGACAGTCCAACGATCGGACAGTGAGAGCCTCGGAGCTCTCCCTCAAAGCTCTCTCTCTTTTTTTTTTTCTGAAACAGAAAAAGAATGAATAAAATTTCTTTTCAGTTATATATAAAAGGCCTAAATGCCAAAACGACGTCGTATTGGGTAAGGGAAGCTCCGTGCATGGATCCGGATTCGACCCGGGGTCCGTGCAATCGACCCGCGAACCCGATCTTTAGCAGCCCTGAATCGGTTTGATCAGACTGGACTGAACTGCTCCCTAAACCGACCTGAACCGCACACCAAATCAAACTTTTTTCTGTCCAACTGAATTACCGTTGATCGATTTGATTCAAGTAAAAAAAAATTTTTTAATTATCTAATTTTATATATATATTTTTGTTATTTTAAATATTTTTTTATATATTTATGCATGATAAGTTTTTAATTTTTTAGGATAAGTTTTTTAATTGTTTTAATAATAATAAAAATGAAAATAAGTAAGATAATAATTAAAAATATATATATTAAAAATGCTTAAAAAAATAGTAATAATAGAATAATTATTAGATATTGGAGGGAATAAAAAATATTTTTCTAAAGAAATAATTTCGCTTAGATGTTAGAGAATTATTATTAATAAATTTTCATAAAAAGAAATATATAAGAAATTTTTAATTAATTTTCAAAAATCATTAAAATCGAACTTGCTTCGAAAATTCGCTTAAATGTTGAGGATTTTTATAGATGTTCGTATTTTCTTAAAAACGAAACTTTAAACACTAATTCTTAATTTTTAAAATCCTAGATTTCTAAAACCCCTAAAATCCAAAACCCTAAAATTCAAAATCCTTTAAATCCAAACCCCTAAAATCCGAAACCCCTAAAATCTAAAATCCCATAAAATCCGAAATCTCAAACCTTTAAACTCTTAAATCCAAAATCCTTTAAATCCAAACCTCTAAAATCAAAACTCTAAACCTTCCATACCTTAAAACCAAACCCTAAAACCTTCAAAACTTAAATTAAACCTTTAAAATCCGAATCTTCAAAATCTTGAAACCCTAATCTTTAAAACCTCTACTCAAGCCCTTACTCAAAACATCCTAAAAATTCTAAGGACGCATGTGAAAATCTCATTTGAAGTAATTTGTTCCTAAATACCGCCTAGATGATGGGGTATTTAGAAAATTTTACCTCGTTAAGTCTTTTCACACGATTTCTTAATTCGCATTTGTAATAAGATTAATAAGTAAAAAGAATAATAGTAAATTAGAATCTCAAATATAAACAATCGCACCTAAGCTCTGCCTAGATGTTGGAGAGTCGAGGTGGTCTCATTATACTTAAGAACCTAACTTTTAAATTGTATTTCATTTTACATGACATTCATTAGCATTCATACGTTATCATGTTATCATCAATAATTATCTGCATTATTCTTTCTTTAATTTACTGTTTGATGATAAAATATTGTATAATAAAAAAGAATAATACATTTAAAAAAAATTTTTGTGATATTATAAAATAAAATAAAAATAACATTTCGAAAGAAATAATTCTTGGTATTCTGCCTATATGTTGGAGAGTCACTAACAATTATCTTCTATAAATATTGTTATTTCATTTTAAGGATTATCGTGTTAAATCTTAAGCGAAAAGAGTTATTTCAAACTCTGCCTAGATGTTAGAGAATTTTAAAATAATTCTTTAACTTTAAGATTTTTTCAATATTCCTAAATAAATAGCTTTAGCAAAATTTTATTTTTCCAATTGAAGGGAATTAATATTAAATTTCAAATTGAAATCATTTTTATCCAACACCGAAAATAGCGCGTAATTAAATGGTACAAAGTTATGGGCGTTGTGAGGGTGCTAATCCTTCCCCACACGTAACACACTCCCGAACCTAACCTGATTTTTTGTAAATCGAAATTTGTCTTTTTGATAAACTTTAAACTCATTTTTATAGTTTTATTAAAAAGATAAACTTTTGGATGGTCAATCACACCCTAACAAAGATTGGTGGCTACTCTTTTTTTATTTTTCTCGATTATAAAATACTTTATGTCTGACGGTCCCAAAATCGTTACGACAATTATTATTATTTATCATACACTGAAAAGACTCTCTTAAAGATTATTTATTTGGCATTTGACAGTAATTGATTGGTTACCTTGGTATTATTATTATTATTATTATTATTATTATTATTATTATTATTATAGTCTTATTAATTAAATAAATAAGAAGTTTTAATGCTTAATTTGGCCTTTTAGTCTTCATTTGTTTTGGATGGACTTTAACAAATGGGCTATGGGTTATGATATGGATTTTTGAATTTTATTTTTTTACTCAATTAGTAATTGGAATGGTTTCGTCTAATTTTTTGTATTGTGTTGAATTAATATTTTATTGGATAATGTTGAATAAAAAATGTTAATCGTTAAATAAAAAAATTATATAATTTTTAACTAATTAATACTTTAAATTTAAGGATTTTGTAAAAATTATAAACAAATAAATTTAAAATTTCTAAGTTCAATTATTAAGATAAAAATAAGTATAAATGTTGTTAAAAAATTAAACACAAACCAAGAACTTCAATATCATGACAAAGCTAGAAAGATCCAACAGAAGACAGAATCAAATTGAAGAATAGTTAGATGCTTTGTAGCTGTAGATGATCATTGAACAATTTATTCATAGTTAGAATAGATAACTATTTGAAATGTGTTGTTTGCTATCATAACAAATAAATAGTAATCGTTGATCTTTAGATCGTTGTCGGTGACAAATTTTTTCCATCATTCTGAGAATAATTTGTTTTTGTTATTATAATTTATGAGCCAAGATTTATTTTCTTCAAGAAGCATGAATGTGATAAAAGAATTATTGTTTGGTAGATGATTATGAAAATAGCTTTAAATATGTTGTAAAAATAATGTAATAAGAAATTGTTAGTGAAAATTTTGAATGTATGTTTTGTTATATCATGCACTAATAGTATATATCTAATTATTTACCAAGATGGGTTGAAGATTAATGTTTGTGTTGGTCATTAAGCAATGAAAAACAGAAGTCACAATAATCATCATTTTCATTTTCTACATAGTAAGATTGAGAAATGTAATGTAAGTTATAAAATATAATGAGTTATTTTAAATGAATTGAAATAAAAAAAGTCTATGAAATTTAAATTTTACCTTGTTTTTGTTGGAAGACATTTGTTGTTATAGTAGTGGATGATTTATGATGCAAAAATGTTTCAAAAGTGTTAGCATTTTTGTATGTAAAAGTTAGAATATTTTCTTATGCAAGATAATGTGTGATAACAAATTTGTGCCATCTATTTTAGAAGTATAATTGTCTACTGCTTTTTGCCAATTCCATTTTGAATGGATTTGGTAGAAAAACCCTTGATGTGCACAGTTGTTGAAGTTTGGATCATTGACACATATTATTGAGTAAAGTCTTTTGAAATTTCTTATAATTATATATAGTTTTGTTATGGGAATAGAAAATTAAAACAAAAATGGAAATTTTTTTATTTGTAAATAAAAAAGAAGATTTGGGAAAGATATTTAAAATTTTGACTTTTTCAAAAAAAATTATTAAAATAAAAAAAAAGTTTTTGATTTACAATTTTTTCAATACTATGTATTTCTAAATTTTTTCTAACTCTATTTTTTGGTAGTTGATGTTCTAATTGTACAAACTGAAATAGTATTTTTATTAAATTAACATCAAAATTTTCAACTATATTTTCAGTGCAAAATATTTTATGCAAATAAAATAATAATAGTTGATATGGGTTAATATAATTTGAAACTATAAATTAAATATAAAAGGGTTTTGTTAGAAAGATTTTTACCATGGAATGTTGAATAGTATCTTCATAAGTCAGATGCTTGAAGAATCATGGTAGTTATTGGAGATTTGTAGTGTTTTTGTTCTGAGAAGAAGTTTTAGCAACCATGATTTTTTTTTAGGTTGACTGGTTTTGATAGGGAAATTTGTAAGGTTTGTGCCTTCTAAAGTTTTTTATTTAGTTTTAGTTGTTTGTGGATAAAAGTTGTTGTGTATAATTGGGTCAAGTAATTTTGTGGGTTTTAAATAT